CACTGGAGATTCCCACTGGAAGATCTCTCTATAAGAGTCTCACTGGGGAATTTATCTAGAGATTCTTAAAAAGATTCCCACCAGAGATTCCTACTGGAGATTCTTAAGAAGAGTCTCACCGGAGATTCCCATTGGAAGATCTCTCTGAAGAGTCTCACTGGAGAATTTTAGAATTTTTCGTTAAGAGTCTGATTGGAGATTCCCACTGGAGAGTCTCACCTGAAATTTCCATTGGAGATTCCCACTACACCACTACATACAGACAAGCCACTTGAATGTTCAGAGACACACGGGAGGCTGTTCTTGTGTTCGGCGTCGTCGTGGTAACTGCGTCGCAGGTGGCCGGAGTTATTACGGCGAGATATGACATCACTCAACTAGCACAGGAGCTTTTCTGACCGTGACCTTTTACACTTCTGGACAATCGGCTGATTGTGTTTTGATGATGATGTCTTTTATTTACACTCGCAGACTATTTCCTGCCGTAATATGACGTTTATTTAGTTTAATTTGCTTTCTTCAGTTTGGTTATGATTTCATTGAGTAATGTGTGTTTGTGCAGTCATGTATGTGTGTGAGGAATCCGCTGAGTTCATTTGCACAAACACACACATGCACTGTTCACTCTGTATGTGTGTGTGTGTGTGTGTGTGTTTTGTTTGAGGTTGACATTGACATGGTTTTCTACATTATGAACCTCAAGTGTCTCACTGGACACAAGCTGCCGCTTCTGTTTGTTTTATTCTGGGTTTTGAGTTATCTTTGAGTTTTAAAAATGGTTAAAAATTGCAAAATGTCAATAAAGGACAATGTATAAAAACGACAGTGTGTCTGGTGTTCTGAAGTCTGTACGTCTTAAATATCCAGATGTTTCTGAAAGAGTCTCTTGTGCTCACCAAGGCTGCATTTATTTGATCAAAAATACAGTAAAAATTGTGAAATAATATTACAATTTAAAAATATCTGTTTTCTATGTGAGTATCTGTTCAAATGTAATTTATTGCTGTGACCAAAGCTGTATTTTCAGCATCATTCCTCCAGTCTTCAGTGTTAGTTTTTTTAACAGCATTTATTTTAAATAGAAATCTTTTGTAACATTATAAATATCTTTATTGTAACTTTCGATCAATTGAATGTTGACAGAAGCTCACATCTGTATCTCTTATATATCTGCAGATTCTAATTATTTTGTTGTTTTATCATTGTTTGCTGAAGATGGGTATTTTAACGATAAAGGTAAAACAGATCACAATATGACAAAGGCTTTAAAATGCTATTGAACAAGCAACAACATCACTTCACAAGAAGATTGACAGCATTCATGTTTCGTTCAGAACATGTAGAGACATTGACATGGTTTTCTACATTATGAACCTCAAGTGTCTCACTGGACACAAGCTGCCGCTTCTGTTTGTTTTATTCTGGGTTTTGAGTTATCTTTGAGTTTTAAAAATGGTTAAAAATTGCAAAATGTCAATAAAGGACAATGTATAAAAACGACAGTGTGTCTGGTGTTCTGAAGTCTGTACGTCTTAAATATCCAGATGTTTCTGAAAGAGTCTCTTGTGCTCACCAAGGCTGCATTTATTTGATCAAAAATACAGTAAAAATTGTGAAATAATATTACAATTTAAAAATATCTGTTTTCTATGTGAGTATCTGTTCAAATGTAATTTATTGCTGTGACCAAAGCTGTATTTTCAGCATCATTCCTCCAGTCTTCAGTGTTAGTTTTTTTAACAGCATTTATTTTAAATAGAAATCTTTTGTAACATTATAAATATCTTTATTGTAACTTTCGATCAATTGAATGTTGACAGAAGCTCACATCTGTATCTCTTATATATCTGCAGATTCTAATTATTTTGTTGTTTTATCATTGTTTGCTGAAGATGGGTATTTTAACGATAAAGGTAAAACAGATCACAATATGACAAAGGCTTTAAAATGCTATTGAACAAGCAACAACATCACTTCACAAGAAGATTGACAGCATTCATGTTTCGTTCAGAACATGTAGAGATCCGGTTCAGTACTCGGATATATTGTTTAACTGCTATAGAGTTCAGTTGTTGCAGAAATGACCGTCTTCCAGGAAACTTGTTTTTGTACCCAAGAAAAGCTCATTGTGGGAATTGATGAATATATGCTCATATATGGAGAGCTTGTGGTTGGTGTTTGACTCTGAGGAAGAGAGATAGAGCTGTGAATCCAGAGCCCAGAGGAAACAGGCTTCATACAGACTCTTGCAGCTCCGCAGACACCAGCGCTCAGAGGTACTCATCATTTGCTCTTTACAGTCTCCTCGTGTCATTTTTGAAGGTGAAATGTCATGTTTGTGTGGTGTAATGAAGACGATCTCTATTCAAAACAGTACTGTCACTAGTCATATATTTTACTACGACAGCTATTTGTTATTATAGATCATGCATAATAAAATATCTAAAGAAATGTTCATTATATTTTGCGTAAAGAACATGAAGCCTACCATTGAGATCGTTTTGTGTTGTAGCATTAATTTCACGACAAGATCTCACTGTCACGATGCATACTTAAAATTATACATTATTTTAAGAGTTTGGGGTCGGTAAGATTTCTAAATGTTTCTGAAAGGAGTCTCTTTTTCTCACCGAGGCTGCATTTATTTAATTAAAAATACAGTAAAAATTGTGAAATATTAGACTTTCAAACAGATGTTTTCTCTGTGAATCTCTGTTAAACTGTAATGTATTTCTGTGATGTGCAGCTGTATTTTCAGCATCATTCCTCCAGTCTTCAGTGTCACATGATCTTCAGAAATCAGTATAATATGCCGATTTGCTGCTTAAGAAACATTTTTGATTATTTTTGTGGAAAGCGTGATACATTTTATTTTTCAGGATGCACAGATGAATAGAAAGTTCAAAAGAGCAGCATTACATTACATTTTAAGACAACTTGTGATAATGTCTTAATTTTCCGGCAGCCTTCATCATGCCACGCTTCATCAGCACCCTGGTCTTCCTCATGATACGGTGCTTCATCGTCACGAGCAGCAGCTGTCAGAGCGACAGGAACCAGGACCATCGGCCCCGCGTCAGCTGCGTGAGTCAGGGACTGACGGCTGTTCCCGCCGGCATCGACGCAGACACGCAGGTCCTGGTTCTCACTGGAAACCAGTTCACGTCTCTGTCCTGGTCCATGTATTCTGGATTCTCAGAGCTGCACGAGCTGGATCTGAGCCACAATCACATCAGCACACTGGAGCCGCCAGGTAAACAGAAGCACATCAGTCATTTTACTCTAACTGTGAAATGAATGCAAAATGCAAAAATATAAATGCTAAATTAAACTGGCAGTCTAGGAAAGGTCACGCACACAATTCCATTTACACTGATGGAGCCAAAGTGGAACGGGTGAGACGCTTTAAGTTCTTTGGTGTCCATATCTCTGAGGGTCTTTCCTGGACCCTCAACACCTCCACACTCATCAAAAAGGCACAACAGCACCTTTGCTTCCTTAGCACCTGTTGAATGTACAGCAACTGCACTGTCTCCGATCAGAAAGCCCTCCAGCGGGTGCTGAAAACTGCCCAATACATCACTGGTGTTCAGCTTCCCTCCATCAAAGACATTCATCACGGGCCTCATTTATAACATTTTTGATCACAGATTTGATCTTAGAGTTAGGTTAGGCACGCTAAAAAACACGGCAACGTTCATATTTATAAAAACGGTCTTTGACGTGGAAAAGTACTTACCGTCACGCAGGGGCGTAGCCATCATTTCAGAACTGAGGGGGACAGAAATGTTATATAGATATATATAACATTACAATATAACATTTCTGTAATCTATATAACCAACCAGTCAACAGTTTTTGAACAGTAAGATTTTTAATGTTTTATAAAGAATTATCTTCTGCTCACCGAGCCTGCATTTATTTGATTCAAAATACAGCAAAAGCAGTAATGTTGTGAAATATTTTTACTATTTAAAATAACTGCTTTCTATTTGAATATATTTTTAATGTATTTCTGTGATGTGCAGCTGTATTTTCAGCATCATTCCTCCAGTCTTCAGTGTCACATGATCTTCAGAAATCAGTATAATATGCTGATCTGCTGCTCGAGAAACATTTCTGATTATTATTATTATTATTATCAATATTTAAAACAGTTGATTCTTTGATGAATAGAGAGATCCAAAGATCAGCATTTATGTGAAATAAAAAGCTTTTGTAACATTATACACTGTATCATTCAGAAGCTTGGAGTCAGGATAAGTTTTATTTCTTTTGGAAAATAAATTATAGAAATGAACACTTTTATTTAGCAAGGATGTTTTAAATTGATCACAAGTGATGATAAAGACATTTATAATGTTACAAACAATTTCTATTTCAGATAAATGCTGTTCTTCTGAACTTTCTGTTCATCAAAGAAACCTGAAAAAAATTCTACTCGGCTGTTTTCAACATCATAATAATAATAATACATGTTTTTGAGCAGCTAATCAGAATATCAGAACGAGTTCTGAAGGATCGTGTGACTGGAGTAATGATGCTAAAGATTTAGCTTTGAAATCACAATAAATTACATTTTAAAATACGTTCAAGTAGAAAATACTTATTTTAAATAGCCTAGCAAAAATATTTGAAAATGTTGCTGTTTTGCTTTGGATCAAATAAATGCAGGATTGGTGAACAGAAGAGACTTCTTTAAAAAACACAAAACATCTTACTGTTCAAAAACTTTTGACTGGTAGTGTGTAGGCAACTTTAATTTTTCTCTCATTTCTAGCTTTTAATTGGCTTAGAAATCAAATAACTGCTGGACAATAACCAATAATAATGATTTGTTTATATACTACAAACACTTTTTATCACATAAGGCAGAATAGTTTCTATACTGTAATAAATGCTGTCAGCTAGCACTGCATTGTTCATATACTTTATTTATTACCTGGAGATGACTTGACAAACACAAATAAACCATATATTGTCGCAATAGTATGTTTAATTCTAGTAAATGTTAATAGTAAATAGTAAATGTTTAATTTCTGTGAAAACAACTGTTTTCATACAGCGATAGCTGGACGCTTTTGCCCATATTAGGGATTTCCTCGTACGACTTTCTGCGCGAGAGCGCCTCCGGCTTCGAGTATGAATGAAACATACACTGCATGAGTGTTTAACGCTCCGCAACGTTCATCTCGCCTTATTCTGGGTCCGAATAAAACATCAGATCATGCACAGACTATCCTGTCTCTTTGAATTTAAATATATATTTATTCACATCGGCTCTTGAAAACCTCTATGGGTTAAAAAGTGCGGGGGATGAATTTACGTGATATTAAAAGTGCGGGGGACGAATTTACGTGATATATTAGGGATTTCCTCGTACGACTTTCTGCGGAGAGCGCCTCCGGCTTCGAGTATGAATGAAACACACACTACACGAGTGTTTAGCGCTCCGCGATGTTCATCTCGCCTTATTCTGGGTCCGAATAAAACATCAGATCATGCACAGACTATCCTGTCTCTTTGAATTTAAATATATATTTATTCACATCGGTAATGATTTGTTTATATACTACAAACACTTTTTTTATCACGTAAGGCAGAATAGTTTCTATACTGTAATAAATGCTGTCAGCTAGCACTGCATTGTTCATATACTTTATTTATTACCTGGAGAGGACTTGACAAACACAAATAAACCATATATTGTCGCAATCGTATGTTTAATGTCTTCATGTTTCCAAACGTTTCTGTTTTCTGTGAAAACAACTGTTTTCATACAGCGATAGCTGGACGCTTTTGTCCACATTAGGGATTTCCTCGTACGACTTTCTGCGGAGAGCGCCTCCGGCTTCGAGTATGAATGAAACACACACTACACGAGTGTTTAGCGCTCCGCGATGTTCATCTCGCCTTATTCTGGGTCCGAATAAAACATCAGATCATGCACAGACTATCCTGTCTCTTTGAATTTAAATCTATATTTATTCACATCGGCTCTTGAAAACCTCTATACGAACACACTTGCCCCACGAAAAAGTGTGGGGGACGAATTTACGTGATATTAAAAGTGGGGCGTAATCTACGCCCCTGCCGTCACGTCAGGGTCTGAACAGACGAACGCACTCCTCCTTGTGGCAAAGTCAGAGTACTGCAGCTATTTGAACATCTAAACTGCAATAATAATAAAAGCACCGAATTCATCATAAACAACAAAGACACAGTGTAAGAGATTAATTTTGCAGTGTAGTCATATTTTTTATTAACGGGAGTTTTTGCGAGATTAAACTGACCTTTTTAGTATCCTAATGTTGAGAGTTCTTTACTCGCTTTCTGTACACGGCTTATTTTACAAGAGAACTTGCAGGTTTTTTCAGACCATAAGTGTGCAATAATTTATTTTATTATGATATGAAACGTCCAATTTTTCTTTCAATAATGTTTTTTAAAGTTTTGCAAGAATTTCGTGATACTAAACGTTTTATTAGTTGTCATAGCAAGTGATTTTAAAAGTAGGACGGCTCACTTTTTATAAGATGACTGAAAATTTTACTTGAATTCGTAGTTTATTCTTACTTTTGGAAACCTAATTGTTTTATAATTACTATTAATAGTATTATAATTATTATTTCTGTTGTTTCTAGTAGTAGTCATTTTGATAATAGTCAATAGAAAAAAATATAACCACACACACACATTTGTCCACAGAATAATTACACATTATTAAATAAAAAGCGTCCCGCACGAACCTCTACCTCCGCCAGCAGGACCTCAGTTTCAGACTTGGTAAAGTTTTTTTTTTCACGAAGCTTTGTGCTCGTCATTCTCAAGCATAGAAAGTCGGATATTGGCGTGTGCTCCTTTATATACTAATGATATTAATTAGGGGTGTTTACAAGGCGGAGATCTGACACCTCTGGAAGAGAGGCGTACGCACGTGTTTTTGTGCGCACGTTCTTTTTCTCTGAATCGCACTTAAGCACTTTTGAGAAATTATCTTGGAACAAATTTAGGACGGTTTATACGTAACATTTTATAAATGAGGCCCCACAAATGCTGCCTAAAGAGAGTGAGAAGCATTATCAAAGCCTCCTCTCACCCCAGCCATGACTCTTTACTCCTCTCCCGTTTGGGAGACGTTATAGGAGTCTTTGAGTCGCACCAGCAGACTCAGGAACAGTTTCTTTCCTTCAGCTGTTAGCCTGCTGAACTCTAAACCCTGGCGCTAAACAATAAAGCTCACTTTGACCACCTATACTAATGCTATTAAAAAAAACACATACACTGTACAATAACTTGTCTCTACTGCACATTAACAATGTTTTTTTCCCTTCTCTTTTCCATTTTGCACATTCCTTGCATTTTTACCTCACATGCTTATGGTTGTAGATTTAGTTAAGCCTTTGTGTGCAGACATGAATTAAAAGGCAAAAACTTTCATTCTGATGTGATGAGAGTCTCAGATTCTCTGTTGTCTCTGTGTGTTTCTTTCAGGTCCAGTGCTGGAGAAGCTGAGCGTCTTGCGTTTGTCTGGTAACAGGTTAACTGGTTTGGGAGGACTGATGTTCCGCTGCGCTCCCAGTCTGATGGAGATCTACTTGGACAGGAACCAGATCCGTTCCCTTCACGACAGCACCTTCAGCGAGCTGCCGCGTCTGGAGGTCATTAACCTGTCTGAGAACAAGCTTCCCGCGCTGCCTCCGCGCCTCCTGGAGCGCGTCTCCTCCGGCGGCCTAAAGACGTTCGACTTGGAGAATAACAGCGTCTCGCTGATGCCCGATGGGTTCTTCTCATCCAAACCCGAGCTGCCTTACGTTTACCTGACCCACAATCCCTGGCTCTGCAGCTGCGCGGTTGGTTACCTCCACAGCTACCTGAACGACCAGGAACACAACGTCTACATGCACGACGGACCGAACGACATCGTTCCTGCTGCCGACTCCGTGGTGTGTTCGGGACCACCTCACCTGCTCAAACGGCCCATCATTGAACTGGAGGAGAATGACTTCTGTCCACCAGATCCAATGGATCCTGCACTCCCTCATCCCAGAGGGGACCAAGATGCCAAACCCTCTCGTATTCTTTCAGATCTCGAACTCCCTCATGTTCTTCCAACAAACTCAGTAAAACCAATTTCCCCCACTCAAACGGCAACTGCTCCATACAACACCGCCACAGGCGCCCACCTGCCCGATTCCACCAAATCCTGGACCTCTGTTGAAAGGTATTGGGTCACTGAGACCTGGACCAAAATCTGGTATGAATTCTGGACAGAGTATTTTATCTCGACTCCAACGACCAGTCCGTATCTTCCCACTCGAGACGCCCTAGAACCAAACACCTGGAAAACAGTCACGTTCCAACCCACATCAAACCCTGTGCCGCCAACCACTGGTCCAATTATTGCCGAATCCCAAAGTCAGGATACTGGCCGACCTGAACCACACACTTTCAGGGCAACGATTGCATTCAACACCACCTTTGGACCAATTATTGACCAACCCCAACATCAAAGTACGGCCCAACCAGAACTGCACACGATTATGGTCCAAACTGAACCCCCAACCGCCAGACGGGTCACTCCCCAAGCAGAACCGCCAGCCAGCATTGATCCGCACTGGGCAGATGCTCAGGGAGCGTATGGACGGCTGCTGCCGTGGTGCTGGTGGCTATTTGCCGGCTTTGTGTTTCTGTGTGTACTTTCTGCTCTCACTTCCTGTTTCCTGTTCCTTTGGCTTCTCAGAAACTACCTCGTGCTCTACCGGCGGCTCAAGCGTCACGTCTTGGCTCGCTCGAACAGTGGGGTCGCCCTGCGGGCTTACAGACGCACCGAAAACATGCACGGATTGGAGAATGCGGGCGAGAGTGTGAGCTTTTTACCCCTCGAACAGATCAAAGACGTTCAAGCTGTGTTCCGGAGCGTCCTCTTCATCTCCAGGGATGAGCAACAGCAGACGAGAGAGACTAAAGGGGACGTTTCTTCCAAAATAGAACTGGTGGGAGATAAGGAACGAGCGCCGAAGGCGAGCGGGGAAGTGTTCAGGAAGACGCTGTACAGAGTGATTAGCCGAGAAGAGGAAGCAGACGTATGGACAGAGGAAGAGGAGCACTGGGCCCCGAGCGGAGCGGGGATGAATGCACGCTACAGCCTGATCCTGAGGGAGGAGAGAGGGCATCAGAGAGAGATGCACTGGGTGGTTGGGGAGTGGGAGATTGGAGCTGGGGGCGTGGCCTGTGAGAGATCCTGCTCTCTGATTGGCCAGCCCTCCGCAGTCGCTCTAGAGTAAACTGCTGGTGGACGTAATTTGATCTCTTCCAACATTTCTGAACTTTCCAGTATTGCTAGTTGGTTCTAAGCCAATGAAATAAAATGTTCTTCTCAGCTACAAACAATGGAATGCTTGCACTTTATTCCGTCCACTTTAGACATTCTATATGTAGTAACTTTGTGACTACACATCAACTAACTCTCATTACAGTATTAGTAGACTGTTAGGTTAGAATTAGCAGAATAAGATTACATGTACTTGACATAGTAATGACAATAGCAACAATAGCAGCAATGAACATACAACGTTATTTAGAGCTATAGTTAGTAGAACGGTCTAAAGCAGACCATTAAAACAAAGTGTTACCCATGGAAATGATTACCTTATTTACATATACATTTATTCACTCACCAGACATGACTTACAAAACACTTAGTCCAGTTCAAACGTTTAACAGCTTCAAACCATTGACGAATAGATAAAATTGTGAAAGTAGATAAAGATAGGTTCGATTTTTGTAAAACTAAACATGTTATTCGTAATCTCACCTGAGCTAGTAGGTGTATATTAATCATATTCAGATATCTCTGAAAGTCTCATTATGCTTCTAGATTTTTTTTTCTACATTCCGTTATTACATTAAAAATGGTCAAACTTTAATACCGTTTTTAGGACATCTTTGGGCCGATTCCCAATTTCATATTGAGGTCTGGAACATTTTATATCATTCTGAGTCACCTTTGAAAATGTCAAACCTCATCTTTCTCAAAGTCGTTACATTAATGTCTATAGTGCTTTATTCAATACGGATCGCTTCAAAGCATCTTTACAGTAATAAAAAGGAAAATAATTATAAAATTAATGAAACGTTTCCCATTCCTCTAGCAGATAGTCCTGCTCCAAACGCACAACTGTAAGAGCAGAAGCTCTTCATTTCATTAAAACCGTGGGATTTTCAATCGTTCAATAAAGCAGCCAGACACCGAACAGGTCGACTGAAGTCTTGTTTATTAGAACTTCGTGTGGCAAATTATGTAGTAACTTTGTGACTACACATCAACTAACTCTCATTACAGTATTAGTAGACTGTTAGGTTAGAATTAGCAGAATAAGATTACATGTACTTGACTTATAGTAATGACCATAGCAACAATGAACAATAGCAGCAATGAACATACAACGTTATTTAGAGCTATAGTTAGTAGAACGGTCTAAAGCAGACCATTAAAACAAAGTGTTACCCATGGAAATGATTACCTTATTTACATATACATTTATTCACTCACCAGACATGACTTACAAAAGACTTAGTCCAGTTCAAACGTTTAACAGCTTCAAACCATTGCCGAATAGATAAAATTGTGAAAGTAGATAAAGATAGGTTTGATTTTTGTAAAACCTTACAAATAAACATTTGTTATTCGTAATCTCACCTGAGCTAGTAGGTGTATATTAATCATATTCAGATATCTCTGAAAGTCTCATTATGCTTCAAGATTTTTTTTCTACATTCCATTATTACATTAAAAACATTATATAATTCTGAGTCACCTTTGAAAATGTCAAAAGTCATCTTTCTCAATAAAGTCATTACATTAATGTCTACAGTGCTTTATTCAATATAGATCGCTTCAAAGCATCTTTACAGTAATAAGGAAAATAATTATAAAATTAAGGAGTTGTGAGACTAATTAAATTTCAGCTGTACAGAAGACAACCGTCGTTATTCAGATCAATTCAACCCATTTAACATTCTTAAAAACATTGCTGAATTGGTTCCATTCCACTCAAATCAAAAGGTGATGTAATTGTGTAACACACAGACTTGCAATATTACGAATGAAACGTTTCCCATTCCTCTAGCAGATAGTCCTGCTCCAAACGCACAACTGTAAGAGCAGAAGCTCTTCATTTCATCAAAACCGTGGGATTTTCAATCGTTCAATAAAGCAGCCAGACACCGAACAGGTCGACTGAAGTCTTGTTTATTAGAACTTCGTGTGGCAAACATCTAGAGAAACACTGTTAGGTTCTGATGAAGGACAGATCAGAGATTCAGACGGTGGAGAACTTGGGCAACTGGTTCCCGAGGATGACCTGCCTCTCCACACCCTGCTCCGAGACGACCGCCAGTCTGACCACTCCACCGCTGGAGCCGTCTCTCTCCATGGCCAGAGTCAGCGCTGCGCACACACACACCGCTGAGATGAATACACACACACACACACACACACATCTCGACTGCAAACACTGCTTCGTGAAGCTCTAAACCCAATCAATGATTCAAAGCATGCATCAAACTGTTAAAACAAAGCTTCTGTGAACCCATAAACCAGTGTCTATATGTTTTTTTTTGGCTGATCTTAGATTTTCTTAGACAGTTTTACACATTTCTAGATATTATAAATGATGCATTTATATAATAACATCTCGACTGCAAACACTGCTTCGTGAAGCTCTAAACCCAATCAATGATTCAAAGCATGCATCAAACTGTTAAAACAAAGCTTCTGTGAACCCATAAACCAGTGTCTATATATATTTTTTTGGCTGATCTTAGATCAGTTTTACACATTTCTAGATATTATAAATGATGCATTTATATAATAAAAGAATTATATTAGTTAATAGTCACTGATTAACCAAAACCCCCATTAATCAAATCAAAAAGTCCTGAAAATTAATAAAAGATCACATATTATATAGAAACTTCATATTTAATAGGATCAAATGATGGATTACACTTCCAATGAAACATTGGCAATTGGTTTGTAAATGCATGTTTGAGCTGAGTTTATTGCATTTACATCATTTTGACCAGTGTGTGGCGCCTCCAAGTCAAAGTTTTGAAAAGCTTTAAAGTTACAATTTAGAGAAAAAAATTCAGAATTGTGAGATGTTGCAAAGCAAGTGGTTCAGAGTTTGAAAAGCTTTGTTTGAGTGTGTGTGTGTGTCTGACCTTCTGCAGTGAATTTGAGACACTCCTCTTTGCTCATTCCAGCTCTGTAGTTTGAATCCACGTATCCGTAGATGTAGCTGCTGCCGGATCCTCCCACCGACACCGGCTGCCTGGTCATCATCCCTCCGACCGGCACCGTGTACACCTGGACACACACACCGAGACACAGGTGAGCCGCATGTCTCCATCAGTGACTCAGACTCGTGCTGCTGCTGAAGCCGTACCTGTCCTCCTCTGCGTGGGTCCCAGCCGGCCACGATGATCCCGGCCATCAGCTCCTCCCTGTACCTGTAGCACATCTCCCGGAACAGACTGGCCGCCGTCTGCACCAGAGGAGCCTCGTCCAGCTCGATGCTGAAAGAGAGACAGAAGACGAGAGTCAGAGCTGGAGAGACGTCTCGTGGCAGGAGCCGTGTGCGCCGCTGTACCTGTGGAAGCCCAGCTGGTAGGTGACGGCGTCAGCGATGGCCTGCGTGTCCGCCGCCGAGCCGGAGCGGCAGCAGAAGATGCGCTCGTGGATGGGAGTGAGTTTATCCGTCACGCGGTTGGCGATGTAAGCGCTGCACAGATCACATCACACAGTTAGACAGAGCAGAAGCACCAGCTAAACTGACAGAAGCGGTCTCTCTCTCTCTCTCTCACCCGGTGGTGGTGCGAGAGTCAGCGCCGATCACCACTCCTCCCTCAAACTCCACCGCCATGATGCTGGTCTGAACAACACAATCACCACACAATCAGTCTCCCCTCAGACACTTCACCTTTATATCTCGGATTAGGCGTCTAAAAATGTGGAAAAGCTGTGAACTGTAAGCTCAGGATTCTGAGAAAAAGAGTCCATTTCAAAATGTTGAGATATAAACATTTAGCTGCTAGAAAAACAGAAAAAAATAAATAAAAATGAGGCAGAATTGTTAGATAAAAAGTCACATTTTTAGAAAAAAATAAAAAAATAAAGACCAAGACGTGAGATAAAATGTAGGAATTTTGAGGAGTCCAAAATGTGCAAATATAAAAATATAAACTTGCAGTTGAGGGAAAAAAATAAAGTCAATTCAAAGTCCAAAATTGGAAATGCACTCAAATAAATGTAAAAGCAACAACAACAAAAACAATTGTTAGATAAAAAAAAGTCACATAAAAATTTTTTTTGCAATTTTGAGAACAAAGTATGAATTGAGATAAAAGCATCAATCTTTTAGAAAAAGTCAACTGTGGCATAAAAAGACGCACTTTTGCGAGAAAAATAAAAAAAGGTAATAACTGCGAGATTAAAGAAAGTATGAACTGTGAGACAAAGTTGCAGCATAAAAATAAACCGAATTAAAACAGCTAGTCCAGGCGCGAGAGCAACAGGCTTCGAGGGTTACTTCTGCTCTTCAGCTCATAATTAGCAGAGAGTGTGTGTGTGTGTGTGTGTGTGTGTGTGTGTGAGTGTGTATGTTCTCCTTGACTGAATGCTTCAGGAAAGATGGTTTTCTGACGTTCCAGACCAGCCGTTACAAGCTGCATTATTATGAAACTCCAACAGGAATCAAACTGGTGATGAACACAGACCTCGGCGTGCCGAACTGCAGAGACACACTGCAGCAGATCTACAGCACTGTAAGACACACACACACACACACACACACACACACATACATAACTCTCTGTCTTTACTCTGGTAACTGTCTCTCATTTGCAGCTGTATGTGGAGTACATCGTGAAGAACCCGCTGTGTGTGCTGGGCGAGTCTCTCCAGAGCGATCTGTTCAACAGTAAACTGGACTCTTTCATCAGAGCGCTACCGTTCTTCAGCGTCCGCGCCGCCTGATCACAATAAAACATCAGCTTATATTTATACTCAGCGTCTGCTTCCTCTAACACAGCTCTTTTGTTAAATATCACTTTTCATTATTTGATGACTTTGACTCACAAAATTAATTAAAAAAAATGATTCCTTTTTTACTTAATGAGTAGTTTTTTGTGTGTTCTTGGAACGTGATGGTAAAGATTTCAGCAAGTTTCATTTTTAATTTGCCACTCACCTTCTTGTTTATTGCTGTTTATAAAGCTTTTGGAGATTTGGTGCAGAGTAATGTTCAAATTTGCATTTATGTGATGTTTCATCTGATCAAAAAAATTATAAAAAGGTGAATTGACTTGTTTTTGAAAACAATGGTTTTGAAAAATACTTATGGAGATTATATATATATTTGTTGTGCTGTTATGAGCACAACAGTTGTTAAGTAATAAGCCTTTAGAACAACATTAAGGTGAGGAGTGACTAGTTCACACAGTTCTAATAAATGGCGATGGGTTAAATAAACTCAATAAGCAGACAGACTACAGTCAAGCGCAGACCAGTATTGAAGTGCAGAGGAAATAAGCAGCAGTCATATTTAAAGCAGTTTAAATTAATATTGAGTACTGATTGATGTTCACTTGGATTTTTTCCCCATCGAGGGGAAATAACTTAATACTCTGTCATTTATAGTCGTATGGTAAAATGTATATTTTTAATTGTGTAACGTTACATTCAAAATAACTACAAAATGTCATGCCTTTGATAAACAGAGAGAACAACAGAATGCACTGCTTTAGCGAGTCTCGGTCTCCTCGAGCATCTTCCTGGCGCATGCCACAAACATCAACCACAGCGAATACTCGTCTTTTAAAAGGCTTCATTTAGATTATTTGATGTTAAATGCATCATATAAGTCACTTTGGAATAAATCACAGTAGGCCTATGTATCATGATAAAAAAAGCGACTTTACAGTCTGGAAATACTTTAG